GTAAGCTATTAAGGCACTTTATTTTGTCTTCTAGCTTATTGAACTTTGTTATAAATGGAAGTGTAATTAATATGTTGAACATGGAACTGTAAATGAAAACCTTAGTTCAATGAGGAAAAGGATCTCTTGGTATTCACTATGTTTTGATTGATGTATTTATATTATGTATTTTGGGGGCATTACAAATTGGTATAAGAGTTAACCAGGTTTGAATACCTTGAGCTCGTGGGATGTGGCTTTGCCATAATGGGTTTATCATGGTAGAAAGAGACGTTAAGTTATCTTGTATGTTATGTGCTTATGTGAATATGTGGGTATGAGATCAAGCTTCTAGGATACAAGTTGGATCTATTGCACTCATTGAAGTCCTTTTGGAAAGGCACATGATCAATGCTTTTTCCACTTGGAAGTCCTTGAGCACCGTGGGACATATTGATATCTTATGAGGATGGTTCGTATGTGCTTTATGTGATTAAATGCTTAAGTGGTTTGCCTTCTGTGGAAATAGATACATGTATAGACATAAGTATAAACCGTATGTGGCGTATAAGATCTCCAGTGGAGTATCTAAGTGAGGAAAGTGAGTTTTAAATTTAATTTACATCTCTATTTCTCATAGGATGTCTAGATGCGTTAGAGGCCATGGCAAACCTCACTAGGAAGGTCGGAATATTCCGATCCAACCAGAGATCCCTCCACAAGAATAAGGAGTCGTTTAGAGCATTGTGGCCTCTCTACCGACCCAAGATGCAATGAGGGCTTTGGCCCGGGAGATGGCAAGGGCTCTTAGAGAGTCCATGGATATATTAAGAGCCGAACAAGAAGCTAGGACTGTCAAAGGGGAGACTAGAACTTCTTTCTTGAAAAAGGAATTCTTTCGTTCAAACCTCGCCAAGTTTAGTGGTGAGCCTGACCCTATGAAAGCAGATGAGTGGTTACAAAAAATCGTCAAATCTTTTAGATTTTGGACATCCGTGAGGGTGAGTTATGGATGGCATTAGCAACCTATCAACTGAAAGGATAGGCCAGGCAATAGTGGAAATATGCCAAGAATCGTGTTAAGCACACTTGGGAGGCATTGACGCATGCCTTCCAAGAGAAGTTCATCCCTCCCACTGCTAGAGAACTGTTGAGGAGGCAGGTTAAAAAGCAATTGCAAGTCGATACCCCTGTGGCCAAATTTGAACCCACATTTACTAGTCTTTTCCGTTTTGCACCTGAACTTGTGGCGATGGAAGAGTGCTGATGTTTAGAATTTGAGAAGCGATTGAGACCAAAAATCTTGATAAAGGTGGTGGGTAATATGATTCACGATTCTGATTGGTTAGTAGAGGTCGTGACACATGTAAAAATCAGGGTAGAGGTAAATGAGGCAAGGTAGAAATTGAAGAGGATGGGATAGTCGAAATCCCGATGTCATTCAGGATCCTCTAAGAAGTCTAGGGGTTTATTATCATCATTTCAGTCACTACCACAACAGACCAAGTTTTCTAGTTTTGTGAGTGGAATTTCAGGGAACACGGGTCAAATCCGTGATGCATGTTACCGATTTGGGTCATAAAGCTTCGAAGTGTGGACAGAACAGTTGGCCATAGCCTTAGTCTGCTCGTTCTCAGGGCCAGTCTCAGAATAGAGGTCAGGCTTTATCATGTTATCATGTGGTTAGCCAGGACATTTAAAGAAGTTTTGTCCACAGAGGGCAAGGTTAGCCAATGTGTTGGGGTCTCATCAGTCAAGAGGTTTTCAAACGAGTCAGGGGCAGAGGCAATCTCATCAACTGGCCTAGTCAGGTCAAGCGTCTAGGGAAGTATATGGGGCCACATCTGTTCACTCAGTACATCAGGCCTATGTTTTGAGAAATGATCTAGGAGATGAAAGGTTACAGAAAAGGGTGTATGCTGTCACCGCATCAAAGCAGTCTTCAGGGCCATTCGTTGTGAGAGGTACTTATTTTATTTTTAATACTTGGGCCAGTGTGTTGATAAATACCAGGACATCCCACTTGTGTTGATAAATACCAGGACATCCCACTTATTCGTAGCATCTGCATTTGCATCCTTGTTGGGGTTAAAAAGTGAAAGGCTAGAGTCTCCACTTGTGGTAGAGTCACCCATTGGGGGTAAGACTGTTTTGAATCAGGGATGTCGTGGGTGTGTAATTGAGGTTTCCGGTCATTGACTTCCATTCAGCTTTGTGTTGTTTGATATGTCCGATTTTGATGTCATTCTCGGCGCGGATTGGTTGTCCTCTTACCGTGCCATCATAGACTGCTACCGTAGGAGAGTTAATGTGTGTATGTAAGGTGGTGATTGCTTCTCTTTTTTGGGGAATAAAACTGATGAATCGTTGCCACCATTATATGAACCACGTGGTCAAGGGGAACTTAACTATCTCTTGACAACCTTATTAGATGATGGAAGTGGTAGTGTTCAAGATGCTTTTCCCAGAGTAGTTTGTGAATATTTAGATGTCTTTCCTGAAGATCTTACCAAATTACTGCCTCACCGGGAGGTTAAGTTTTCCATAGACTTAGTACTAGGAACGGCACCTATCTCCATTTCACTATATAGATTTGCACCAATTGAGTTAGTTGTCTGGAAGGAACAATGACAAGAGTTGCTAGATAAGGGCTTCATACACCCTAGTACTTCGCCATGGGGAGTGTCAACCCTGTTGGCTAAAAAGAAAGATGGTTCGTTGAGATTGTGTATAGATTATCGTAAACTGAATTGAGTTATGGTTAAGAATAAGTATCCCTTGCCTAGAATAGATTACCTCTTTGACCAACTCAAAGGTTCGCGTTATTTTTTGAAAATATATTTGAGGTCGGGTTATCATCAACTATGAGTTAGGGATGAGGATATTCCTAAGACAACCTTTCGTATGAGATACAGTCATTATGAGTTACTAGTTATGCCATTTGGTTTGACCAATGCACCTGCTACATTCGTCGACTTAATGAACTAAATCTTCTGAGAATTTCTTGATAAATTTGCAGTTGTCTTAGTAGAAGACATTCTCATCTACTCGCCTTCCGAGGAGGAGCACGAGGGGCAGCTCCGCATTGTCCTACAACTCCTTAGGGAACATCATTCGTATGCGAAGTTTGAAAAGTGCAAGTTTTGGCTATCAGAAGCGAAGTTTTTGGGCCATGTAGTTTCCGAGGACGAGGTTATAGTGGATTCTTCAAAAATTGAAACTGTATAGAATTGGGATCAACCTAAAAATGCCTTTGAAGTCTGTAGTTTTCTGGGCTTAGTTGGTTACTACCGTCATTTTGTAAGGAATTTCTCTTCTATAGCATCACCTTTGACAAGATTGACTCGTAAGGGAGTGAAATTTGTTTAGAGTGAACCTTGTGAGAATTCTTTTCAGGATCTAAAGCTTAGGTTGATTACCACTCCTATTCTCATTATACCAGAACATGGCTTAGGGTATACGGTATATTATAATGCTTCAAGGAAAAGATTGGGGTGTGTGTTGATGGAGGAGGGTATAGTGGTAGCATACGGTTTGCGATAGTTAAAAACTCATGAGAGAAATTACTTGACCTATGACCTAGAGCTTGTCGTTGTCATATTTGCCTTGAAATTATGGAGGCATTATTTATATGGAGAAAAACTTGAAGTATTCTTCGATCATAAGAATCTTAAGTACCTATTTTCTTAAAAAGATTTGAACTTATGTCAAAGGAGATGGATGGAATTTATGGAAGATTACAACTTTGAATTATACTATCATCCCGGAAAGGCCAAAGGTGTGGTTGATGCTTTGAGTAGAAAATCTGTAAGTGCCATAGCTAGCATAGTTGTGAGGGAATGGAAGATGATGGGGGATATTAGTGAATTTGACTAACAACTTCGCGAGTCCTCTAAGCAGGCTACTTTGTTCACTGTTATCATACAACCTACCCTAGTCACACAAGTAGTGGAAGCATAACAGGGTGATCCAAAAGTGGAGACTATTCGGGAAAGAATTTCCAAGTGAAATGAAGAGAAAGATTTGAATGTTTATGTCGATGCGAGTGTTGGTTATTTTGATCAATTAGTTTTGTCTGAATCTGTTAGAGATGAAGTTCTTTGGGAATTCCACCACTCTAGCCTTGCGGTGCATCCGGGAGGCACCAAAATGTACCATGACCTTAGTCGTCAGTTTTGGTGGAGCGGTATGAAGAAGGATGTAGCATCGTTTATGTCTAAGTGCCTAACCTGTCAACAAGTCAAGGCCGAACATCAAAAACCCATGGGATTATTACAACCTCTCCCAATTGCCAAGTAGAAGTGGGAACATATTAACATGGACTTTGTTATAGGTCTTCCAAGAACGCAAAGGGGTAATGATGTGATATAGGTAATCATAGATCGACTTACCAAGTCCACCAATTTTCTTGGCATAAGTGTGAGGGATTCTATTGAGTTTTTAGCTGAACTTTACATCCATGAAATCATTCGACTCCATGGTTTTCCAGTGAGCATAGTGTCTGATAAATAACCTCGTTTCACTACCAGGTTGTGGCAGAGTCTTTAGAGTGCCTTGGGTACCCAACTAAATTCTAGTACTGCCTACCACCCTCAGACTGATAGACAATCCAAGTGCACCATACAAATGGCTGTTTTGGGAAGATGGTTAAAAGTTGCTTTTTGGCTTCTTTTTTTCTTGGCTTTTTTGTGAGAGAGGGGAGTGGGTTAAAAGCTGGGAAGTGGCTTTGAACCCACTTCCCAAAATAGGCCAAATTCTAGAAGCCATGTTGGAAGCGTGCGTGTTAGACATCAAAGGGTCTTGGAAGAAACACTTGCCATTAGTTTACATTAATAGTTACCAGGCTAGCATTGAGATGGCGCCCTTTGAAGCTCTTTATGGACGTCCTTGTAGATTATCTATTTGTTGGGCAGAAGTAGGGGATTCATCTATGCTTGGGCTCGAGTTATTGCATGAGACCACCGGGAAAGTAGCTCTTTTTGGGAAGAGATTAATCACGGCTCAAAGCTGTTAGAAAAGCTATGCCGATCCAAAACGAAGTAGGAGACTATGTGTTTCTAAAGATCTCCCCTAGGAGGGGGTTGATGAGGTTTGGTAGAAGCAAAAAATTATCTCCCCAATTTATTAGCCCATTTGACATCATAGAGCGGATAAGAGAAGTTGTATATCGTCTTGCCTTACCACCACAACTCTCTAGAGTGCACAATGTATTTTATGTGTCAATGCTCCGTAAGTATGAACCCGATCCTTCTCACGTCCTTGATTGGACGGATATTGAAGTTGATGAGGATGAGGATGCGTCTTCTGAGGAAAGACCAATTCAAGTCCTAGACACCCGGGAGCAAGTATTGAGGGGCAAGACCATTCCATTAGTCAAATTGTTGTGGCATCATCATGATGTTGAGGAAGCGACTTGGGAGCTTGAAGCCGATGTCTACGAAATATACCCAAATTTATTCCAAAATATGTGATATTGGTCGTATTACTTTTCAATTGATATGTGGTAAACCAAGCTTAAACAATATTTTCTCATTCTTTTTTCTTCTTTTTCTACTAGAAATGGTTTGTTGTTTCTTTGGGATTTGTTACTAATGATTATTATGTTGTTCTCTTATTATTGATGTTGGGTTAAGGATTGACGTTATTTTGGGAGCAAAATCCCTTAAGGGGGGGAAGATCCCTCAAGTGGTCGATCGAGCGAAGATAAGGGGTTCCCAGTATGTCGTTTTGTAGACAAAGATACTGAGAGATATCGTTCACCTCGCAAGCGATGAAAAGACCGCTCGAGCGGTCTACATGAATTCAGCAGTTCAAAAAACCACTTTTTAGATGATTTCTTTTACTTTTCTTTCTCTATGTTCCTTCCCCACTCTCTAAGTCCGACAGCCCTATTTTTCTCCCTCTCTCTCTCTCTCTCTCTCTCTCTCTCTCTCTCTCTCTCTCTCTCTCTTTGTACATATCTCTTATTTCACTAAGTTTTAAGCCAAAATCATTTGCAAGAGGTGGAGTCTAAGTAAGGATCTTCCTTTCTACCGCTTGGATTTTGATTCGACGAAGAATTGTTCTAAATAGTCTAGTTTTCTAGCTCTTCCTTGAGGTAGGGTTACTTTTAACTTAGTATCTCTTTCCTTTGAGGATGATTATGTGGTATTGTTGTGACTATGATGCCTTATTTTTTGATGATTGAGCAAAAGTTAAGTTTTATGTTTAATACAAAGGGGATTTTAACCTACATTTATTAAAATTTCAAATAAATTATTATGGATTATTTGTATTGGTGTTGAGAACTCACACATATATGAAGAGGGGGTAAAAGCCCAAAATTTGATAAAAACCTACTTTTAATTTGGGGAAATATGATGTTTGGATGGAATTGAATTTCAAATCTTGAATTGTGTGGATAATTAGAGTTTGGAATACATTATTAATGTGTTTTGAATTGAGATTGTGGACTTGGAAATTGATAACCCACGTATTCCATTTTCACTATTTATCTCATGTTTTATTGAATACTTGATTACTTGGAATGTGGTAAAGAGGGGACGATAAATAGAGTGTAAATTCGGGTAGAGAGTCGGTTTTGAGAACAATGTGTTGTGTTAGTACCTGCGTGGGAAATTAAGGTGCCCAATTGTCTTGTCTTGAGCTTATCACTGGACGAATGTGGAAAAATATTTTTGGGTGTTCACTGGTCCTGCCGTATAATAGTCGGCAAAAATGGAAAAACAGATGGTTTTGGGTGCCCACCACCTGCCGTATTAATAGTCAACAAATGTGGGAATGGTTTTGGTTGTAAACCTATATATATAGTATGGGGCTCCTACGAGGGATTCGTCGCATATTTACCTCCTATGTTAAGAAAGGTTTTCTTTTCCATAGAACATAAATGTAATTGTTTTCTTACTGTTTTTATTTGTGAACCTAAACTCTAAATTTTGTTGAAGTTATGATGGTGCCACTTGGATGTTCAAACGATTAGATACTCTATTAAATGTATCTCTACTGGCCATATTGCTTATCCCTATCCAACATTTTCAGGAACTGGTGATGTGCCACCACCCCAGTAAGATGAAGCATACTCTTTTGTTTTGATTGGAGCACCGGAGCTTATGGATACTTAAATGTGGAAGCTCCGAGCATATTTGCTTAGGACCGTGAGTCCATTTTTGTTTGTAACAAGGCAATGTCTTGAATTGTTGTAAGCCATTAAGGCACTTTATTTTGTTGTCTAGCTTGCTGAACTTTGTGATAAATAGAAGTGCAATTAATATGTTGAACATGGAACGGTAAATGAAAGCCTTAGTTCAATAAGGAAGCGGATCTCTTGGTGTTCACCATTGTAGACGTCCCCGAACATCCCGGGAGGGAAATCCCGTTCTGTTCATTTGGGGCTCACTACAGTTCAGGACTCAAATGTCACGGTTCTTAATCTGATCTCACAATGTGCGATGTGAGATTGATAAATCATCAAAGAGTCCAAATCCGACAAATCGTTTTGAAAAACTAATTTTTAGAAAGAGGTGCCAAACATGGACTGCTTTGCTAGATACAGAGTCGCCTCCTAAATATTTTATTTTGGAGAAATTTAGGAAACCCTGACTCGTGCCTAAGGCCACGTGTCCGTCATCACCAAAGTTGCCGTGGCTCGGGAACTTGGGTACGATTGGGGAAGGTCAGCTATGAGCACCCCTGCTCGCCCGATCAAAGATCGGCCACTACTAAACATGATATCTCGTTTTTGAAAACGCATGCGTTCTTATTTCGGTTAATTAGCTAGAATTACTATGTGATGCGCACAACACACAAGTATAGACTAGATCGCCTAATTCGGAACAAAGCATGGCATACCCGTTTGTTTTGAAAATGGATTGAAATTTGTTGCTTATAAGTACGCTAAAACACGGGTTTCGACCAATTATTCCAACTCAAGCAACCCAACCTTCACCCACAGGCATTCAGGCAGTTATATCATGTAAGCAAATAGCCTCATGGCAAGCATGCTATCATGGCAGTCACTCACACGCATGCAAGGATGTTAAAACGTAAAAGCTTACCTAGTACTCCAAGCCAAAACAAAAAACTAGTTAGTAATCATGCATGATCCTAGCTCATGTTAGCAATGGCTAATGCAACGCATGCAAAATGTAACTAAGATAGGCTCGGCTACCCTAAGAATGGCATGTGAAATGCGACAACTCGATACATGTATTCAAGTTGGAATTGAAACACAATGCAGTTAGTATAATGCGCCGAGTCCAGTGCATGCAAAACAGATGAATGATGCAAACATGCGAGCATAAGTATGCTAATTGAAACATGTCCTAAACTAACCATCAAAAGCTTGTAAATAAAAGGGAGAAAGACGTGGGGTTGGAAGACATTCACACACGTATGCACACTTATTACAAATTCGCCCTCTCGACGGAGGGTCCGAATGAATAATACAAATTAATTAACTAACAATCTAATTAAATATTACAGACCCTTAATTAATTAAACAAACTAATTAAATTACTGAAAGTAGTAAAACAGCCTCGGGAAGAGGAACGAATGCATGCACGCTCGACTCCGCTCGGAAATCCACCGCCATGTCACATGTTGCCTCTGTTTGCACTGTTTTCCTCTTCTGAAGACTGCACAAGTTTCCAAATTGCTTCTGAAATACTCCCTAAGAGTTGTGGGAGGCCACCGACCAAGAGGGAGCACCACCGGCCATGGAATTATGGCCATCGATCAAAAATGGGATCGTCGGCACTATTTTTGTAGTCGGCCGACATTGAAAGTTGCCGACCGGCCATCTCCTCCTGCAGAACACTGGTTTGCTACAACAGAGGATAGACAGAACATGGCGATGCATTTTCAAACCAATTTATGCACTACCACCCTCCTCAGCATGTTTGAGACTTAGAGGAGCATGGTTCTCGACCCTCGGGCTATAAATCATGCATTTCAATGCGTGACGGCCCAAGATGCCAAGTGTGCATTTTAATGTCAAATGAAATACACACAAAACACATAAAGGACCCCCCAACCTCTATCATGGTTTATCAAGGGGCAAGGGATGGGATGCATGCACAATGCTATGCAAGCTAAGCATGCAATATGAGCATGTGAACAAGCATGCAAACATACAAGTATGTAATAAGTATGCAAGCTAACAAGCATGCAAGATGCAATTTAAACATGCAAACATGGAAGACATATAGCAACATGTTAAGCAACTTAATCAAAGGTGCATGCCAAATGCAATATCACTTAAACATGCAACAACATGTTAATAGTCCTATCATCTAGACATACAAACATACATAGCATGCAACAACATGCAAAGGGGCCAAGTATGCGACAACATGCAAGGCAAGCATGTAATAACATGCAAAGGATAGTCTTAAACCAATATGGGCAGCTCTCAAATAGGCCCAAATCAGCGGCCAACAGGATGAAAATGAGGCAACAAAATGCTTGCACACATGTACAAATGCAAGAGACCAAACCTAAGGCACCAAATGCAATTCTACCAAAGCATGGCAAGGATGAAATATGGCATACAATCACATATGTTCCAGCTCTGAAATGACATACAAGATGGTCCCAAAACATGCAAACACCTCACACAATGCATGCTAGATGGCCTACATACCGAAACTAGTGAAGTGCGTTACACTAGAGGTATGCAAAACAATGCTCAAATGACCAAACCACCCCCAAAAAGTCCCTATGCAGACCCTAAATAGTGGGAAAATGATCTAAAATGATGGCTCAAAATGCATGGAAATGAAGCTCATGCAACGGCCCAAAAATGAGGCATTAATGCACAACTCTCGAACGCATTTAAAGAGTGGAAAATATGACAATATGGCATACATATTAGCTCTGAAATATGATGCATAATGATGCCAAAACATGTCAAGGGCCCAAACAACGCATGGTAGTGGACCCGATATGCAAAGCTAGTAAGCTTGATTGAACTATGACCATATACAACAATGCATGCACGACCCAAAACACTTCAAATAGAGCTAAGGCAGCCGAAAATATGAATAAAATTAGTTTGGATCATGGCCAAAATATGCTAGGAAAGGGGGCCAAAACATCATGCAATACAAGCTAGTGAACCATGATTTACAGTACAACCATATGAAGCACATGAGGAGTCACCAAATCAGTCAAAAACATAATCATGGCATGTCAAAATATGACCAAAAACCCACTGAAACTCAGTCAACACATGTTAGAATGAAGTGCTACTTTGATAGGCCATGCAAGGGGTTGTTCCACACATGCAAGATGGACATTCAATATGACAAAACCACCTCTGGACAGAGGTTATGAAGGTCCTAAAACTCATCAAAAATGGCCTAAAACATGGCTTGGAAACATGCAAATAGGGGCTCCTTTGTAAGGCCAAGAAAGCTAGTAAACAAGACAAGGGGTGAGAGGGTCACCCCTCTTTGATTTTGATGCTCAAAAA